GGCCCTTATTTGTCGGCGTTTTGTCCACATTTTCGAGCGCCTTCGTGGATTCCCCGCGCGTGTGCCTCTGCACTCGAGGCTGTCTGTGTGCGCAGCGGCGCGGCGCCGAGAGGCGCGTGGCCGCCGCGCGGGCACTTGCGGCGTTGACGGCCGGACAGTCGCTGCTCGCCACGGTGGGCCGCTGCTCCTTCGGGACGTACTCCTGGTACTACCTGGTCCTCGACAACAAACGTCCATGGAAATATCGACGTTCAAATTTTAAAAATCACGATGTTTAAAATACATCGATCCAAAACGATAGCTGTTTTTTAAACATTGATGTCTGTTAAACTATTTGAGTAGTTTCTAACATCAGAGTGCACATGCACGGGGGAGGGGGTCGTTTTCATGTCTCGGTGATCGTGTTTATTAATATATGATTGAGATTTTGCTGAAAAAACATTCTCAGAACAATTAATAATATGTTTATTTTCTTGTTGGATAATACAAATATGAATACTCTACATTTATCAACAAAAAATCGACTAACGTATTTTTCTCTCTTGATGACTATGGTCTGAAGAATGTATAGTTTGTAGATATCTGAAAATTGTAGAACCGGCAAAGGGAAAAGTAGCCTCAGCAAAAGGAGGCAATGACGGTGAGGATAATTCAGATGATGGTGTGCAGCCTAAATTATTTGCGGGTACTACAGCTTTCATATTGGAGAAATAGGTTTCCTTATCATTTCATGCGGAATTTACGGCGAGTAAATCTGGTTGAAGCTTTTTCCATTCTCTTTACCTCTTGTGTCTGTCCATCATTATTTGTATCGTATCAATTTATCATCACATCAAATCACCGTTGCTCATGCATCGATTTATTCTCCATTCGTGCTAAGCCAGACTTAGCCACTGCAATTGTAATGATTGTGATTACGATGATAATGACAATGTGATGATGATAGATCTCTTAGGCCAAGGCTTCACTTTGAGCGCCTTCGTGATGCGAATCTGCGTTCTAGGTGTGTGCTAGGGGGCGTAGAGAGAAACGCATCCCCACAGTTGGAGGGAAGCTATTCTTGTAGAGAGCGCCCGGAGTGCAAAATTTGTGCGGCCTTGAACTTCGGATCACATGAGACTCAGGATCATAAATCATTGATTGCAGACTTTCCTATGAAATTATGAATAAATCAAAGATTGAAACGTCGATACGTCTGAATTCGTAGAGGTTCTCCTTGGCTTGAGACGAACGAAGTGAGAACAGTTATGCAAAATACTATTTGTTGAATTAGATCTAGCTATCTTGGTTTGGAGTAAACGTATTATTTCTGAAGATTTTTTTAGAAAAATCGCAGTGCAATATACTGTCTAATCTGATATTGTTCTTTGATCAAGTGAAGTGTAATTTTATGTGTGACACGAAGTTGAAAGAGAAAGGACAGCTGTGACGCGATCGACAGCGAGAACTACATTGTGAATCCGGTCACGGCGAGGTGTAGTTCTCGACTCGATGCCCTAAATTTACCCCGTCATCGACACTTACGATTGTCCCTAAACGTCTCGTTGGTGCGTCTCGGCCGCCTTTTTCGCTTCTGCTACCAGTGACAATAAAACGTGAGCTCCCAGAAGAAATGTGTTTGTCAGTAATGTCCAGTGAAGGCTACACAAAACAATTCTCGATGGAGACGTGAATAATGTATTGTCACTGAAAAACAATTCATCAGTAATATTCTTACTTTACGATCCAAAGGTCTAGTATTAGAAATTGTGAATGTTAATACATATTTTGAAGAATATTGTGCTAGTTTCAACGTTTTATTGCATACTTTAGACCAGTAAAATTACATGCGTCCGTGTTCATCAATATTCAGTTTCAAATTAATGTTAAACATTTTAATAACTGAACTTGAAATAATTATCGTGTTTAAAATGGAGTGATGATCAATATTTCATCCTGACGTTAATTGCTCCATGTTGGTGAATAATTCAAAAGATTTTAGTGCAAAATAAGGAAATGAGATTGTACTAGAAGTGAGAAATGATATATGAAAGAGTAACATTCAGGGGATCAGAATAAGAAATATAAATCGCTTTCTCACTGTCCTCCTTGCCATATACATCACATTGTCACTTCGAAAGTGACGACACATTATTCACTGGGTTAATTTACTTTCAAAAAAAGCTTCCCAATTTACAAATGAAAGTCCTATCTAGAAGGAATACACGTAGTAATTGCGAAGCGCCTAAACTCTGTGACGGATGACATCGCCTTGAGATTACTATAGAGGTACTATAAAACGGGAGCAGATAAATGACTAACGTGCTGCGGAGAATCGTGACGATCTCTCGAATCGAGAGGCGAATTGCGAGCGGAGGTGCACTCGAGGCGCTGCATCAATGCTGGCTGGCGTGCCACGAGCAGGCCATCGGTGAGAGGAGAGGGGGAA